TCAGAAATCCTTGAGGAGGAGTCTCGAGGTACTGGAGTAGGGGTTTCCCGAACCAGTATAAAATCGGTGTGCATTTTATTTACGCTTTTATTTCTGCGTTTTATATATTGCTTCTGCATTTGCCAACCTTGTTTTTATCAAACTCCGAAAAGATTTTAAATGTCTTATTCACACCCCCTCTAAGGCGTGGGCACAACGTCTAAACCGACTAACAATTGGTATCAGAGCAGTTTCGTAGTGGAAAGTGCTTAACCGCATCTACGACAAAGATCCACTTGTTGTGTCCTTTTTAAATTTGAATTTCTAAACTCAAAATTTTATTATTTTCTTTAAATTCAAATTTATTAAAATGGTCCAAATGGATTCCCAAAGCATCCACCGCCCTCCATTTTTCAATGGCCAAAATTATTCTTATTGGAAAATGCGGATGGAATATTTCATTCAATCAATTGATTTTGATTTATGGTTGAATGTACTTCACGGGCCATTTGTGCCGAGTATTGGTAATCTTGCAGGATTATCTTCGAAGGACAAGAGGAAACTATCCATGAACGCAAAGGCAATCAATATTCTCCATTGCTTTCTCGGCCCCGATGAGTTTGCACGAGTATGTTCATGCAAAATGGCCAAAGAGGTATGGGACTTGCTACAAGCTACTCATGAAGGCGACATCTCAACTAAGCAAACGATGATTGCCCTTGGGAACTCCGAATACGAATCCTTCAAGAAATGGTCATGTGAGACAATCCAAGACATGAACAAGAGGTTCAACGAGATTGTCAATAAATTGAGTAAGTTGGGTAAGACGTATACTACTTCCGAGCTTAATACAAAAATTCTTTTTTCTTTACCTAAAGAATGGCATAGTAGTATAGTGGATTTATTACCCAAATGTGATAAGGCCAAAACCGCCCACAATTGGTCTTCCTTATATTCTCACGAACTTTTGTTGAGAAAGATTAAAGAGGAAGAAATGCGAGAAAATCCCAAACTTACCAACGCCTTCAAAGTTTCAAAAGACTCATCAAGTGAAGAGTCAAGTGAGTCAAGTGATTATTTAAATGACTCAATCTCTTCGGAAGAGTCAAATGATGAAGAAGATGAAGAGAAGGCAATGAGAATGAAATATACGGATTTCCTCAAATGGAAGAAGTATGTGAAGAGGAAAGAAGTATATTTAAAGTCGAAAAAAGAGCGGCATAAGCCAAGGTAAATTCTTTTCACTTATTGGGATAAGATATTTTGTTTGGTTTTAATTATTTTCAAAAATAAAACCTTATCCCATATGTGCTTTTATTTGTTTTAGCCTTGGTTTGCATGATTAAAATTTCTTAAAATTCATGCATTTTAGAAAATCCCTGAAAAATAAAGTTTTTAAACTTGCATCATTATAGGAGGAGTTTTCATTTTTAGGGGAAGTTTCGTTGTAAATGCACCTTTAACCCAATGATCTCAAAACTATCATTTTTCCTAAAAATTCATTTTAATAGGGGGAGGGTTTCAAGAAGTTATACATGGCTAAAATTTTCAAAATACCCTTTTTGATTTTGACAAAAGGGGGAGAAGATGTATACTTCAAAGTGGTGTATATGCAACTTGACTTGAGTGCATTCTTGTGTAAACTTAAACTTTTAATAAACACAAGAAAAAGTTCAAAGTGAGTATTTTCAATATGCTTATTCTTAGAGGGAGCTTACTTGATTCATTATTTTAACTCCCGCCTAACTCACTTTGAAGTATATTGTTTGTCAACATAAAAAAGGGGGAGATTGTTAGCCTTGGTTTGCTAAGCCTCATGTTTTGATGTTAACAAACAATATAAGAGCTTAACGTTTGTTTAAGTGTTTCAGGAAAAACAAGAATCCATTAAGATTTGGTACTCAAGAATGAAGTCGAAACACTAAACTAGCGTAGAATATAGGTAGAAACCAATGTGAGGACATGACTTTATCCACAAAAGTCATTTTTTTTGTAATGTTGAGACACACAAAGAAGAAGATGATTACAGCCAAGGGATTTACTAAGATAGTGATGAAGTGGGTACCAAAACACACAGCTTCAAGAACCAACTCATGTCTTCGAGTTACACCTGATCAGTGGCTCCTCAACAGTGGGTGCTCACATCACATGACTTGAGTTAAGCAAAACTTTGTAAACATTTAGTCCAAAGAATGAGGGAATGTTTGATTTGGCGGTGGTGCACATGGACAAATTATTGGAAATGAGACCTTGCATGTATCAGGATTGCCACCAATAAAAAATGTGTGGTTAGTTCAAGGACTATAAGTAAACTTCCTGAGCATTAGTCAAATCTGTGACCAAGGAATTGAAGTGGTATTTACTCAGCAAAATGTCGCATCAAGGACAGAAACAAGCTTGTTGTTTTAGAAGGAGACAGAACCACTGATAACTACTACAGAGTCACACCAAATGTCCTCTGTTACACTGCAAGTGAGAGGGATGCTAAATTGTGGCACTACAGACTCGGGCATATGAACTACAATGATTTGAAGATCCTTTCAAACTCAGGATCAGTTCGAGGAATGCCCAAAATCACGCAAACCAGCGACCAAGTGTGCAGACCTTGTCAAATGGGAAAACAAGCGCGAACGAGTCATCCGAAGAAACCTACGAGATCAACCAGCCAGCCATTAGAGATTTTGCATATTGATCTATTTGGACCCATGCAAACTTAAAGCATAGGAGGAAAAAGGTTTGTCCTCATGGTTGTGGATGATTTCACAAGATATACATGGGTCAGTTTCTTGAGACATAAGGATGACACACTTGATGCTTTTGAAGCACTATATATGCAACAAAGTCCAAAATGAGAAACAACTAAAGATAAGAAAAGTCATTCGAATATGAAGTGACATTGGAGGGGAATTTGAAAATGGACTATTTCAAAAATCTTGTGATCTGCATGGTATATGGCACGAATTCTCAGCACCTAAAACTCCACAACAAAACGGGGTGGTAGAAAGAAAGAATCGTCATGTACAAGAAATGGCTCGCACAATGATCAACACACATGGCCCACCACAAAATTTGTGGGCTGATGTAGTTCATACAGCATACTACACAATAAACTGTGTATACTTTAGAAGTGGAACACAAGCTACACCTTATGAATTGTGGAAGGGTAGAACACCAAGCATAGCTCACTTTCACATTTTTGGAGCAAAATGCTATATCCTAAGAGATCGGGAACACAAGGGGAAGTTTGAACCAAAAAGCGACGCGGCTATTTTTGTTGGATACTCACCAAATAGCAAGGCATACCGAGTGTATAAAAAAAGGACAAGAACCATCATGGAGTCAATTTGTGGTAGATTATCAACTTTATCTGAAGACATCGGATGATTCACTGGAAGTACATGAATCAGATGAGGCACCTGAAGAAGAAAATGGGCATAGAGAAACCGAAAAAGAAGATACCAGAGAAACTCCAACCAACTGTCCAATAACTAGAGAAACTGCCATTATGTTGTTGATATGTTGGTGTTGGCATCATCGTTTATGACAAAAACAAATAGTAGGTTAATTATAGTTATTGGGTTGTAGCGTCTTGCCAAGTCATCACGCCGTTGCGGATGCAAACCGAATCCTACTCCTTGTGTGCTTAGAGGTCTGGTGAAGTAGCACGTGGTACCAGGAGTTTTGAAGAGTTCTATGAGACAAAGAAGTGTTCAAGGTTGAGGAGTCCTATGAGGACCATGCTAGGGTTTTCTCCAGTTCATTTGTATAAATACTCTTGGACGCCATGGTATTCGGTTGTAGATTCCAAAAAGAGAAAAACTCCATGAGGATTGAGAGAGGCTAAACTTTGGTGAAGAAGACGGATCAGACAGAGGCAGAATGCTAGGATCCTTCTGATCAACTCCGATATGTTTCTGATTTATGCACAAGTAGATCGTTGCTACCCTGTGTACTGATTGCGTTTCTGTGATGAGAGAGCAGTACTCATCATCCAGCTGTTGAACTTAGAAGGGCTTGAATAAGGGTTGATAGCACGTCCAATAATAGGAGTTACCGAGGTTGGTGTAATAAGCCGCTAGTTACAACATGAACAACTGGTACCATTAGTGATTGAAGGTGTAATCTTTACAATGATTTAGTGGAAGGGCTATTACATAGATGTGGGCCCCGCAGATGCAGGGAGAGATCTCCAAATTGCGTAAACAATTCTCGTGTTTGATTTACTAAGTTTATTTCCTTATTGTGTGCTTTCCTGTGATAGAGAAAGTGCTTTAGCACTAATTCTGTCTCATAGTATTGTGACAGTGATATTATCAAGTTGAACTGTTTAGATTATCTATTGCGGTGTGATCATTGTTGATCCTTATAGCGATTTCAGACAGAATTTCCATGCTTGTTCTAGATGCTAATGTCATAATTATCCAATTATATTGAAGTATTTTGGTATACTCTGAGATAACTTTAATCTGAAAAAGATCACGTGATATGTTTAGTCTGTCAAGTTTCTTCACGCTTGTTCATACACCGATTCTTCCACTACAAGAATGCAGGCAAAAAAGAGACAGTAATTTAGTCTCATAATTGTCTCGAACGTGAGACGAAAAAGAGACGAATTCATCAGTCTCATTAATTTCGTCTCTTTTAATTTGAGACAGGAATATTCCGTCTCTTTTTGTTTGGGACGGAAATGAGACGGCATAAAAATGAGACAGAATTCCGTTTCTTTTTTTTGGGACGGAAATGAGACGGCATAGAAAAGAGACAGAATTCTGTCTCTTATGTGTATAAACTTGGCCAACCATAATTCAAAATTATTCATTTTAGAGACTAAAATCTGTCTCAAAATCTAAATATTAAAAAAACAAATTGCTGATATTAATAGCCTAAAAAAAATTACTGATATTAATTGCTGTTATTGGAACAATATTTTTTACTTTTTTTAGAATAAAGCAACCCAACAAAAAAAATGTCTTAAACAATCTTAATATTGTAACACATGTCCAATGTGATCTAAAACTTGCTACAAAACATCAATTTTTTTACGAATAAGTACACCAAAGAAATAACATTAAATAAACACATTCATCATGATCCAAAACAATGTAATTGCAGCAAACATACTTCCTCAAAACAAATTCACTTTTCAACATGTCCAAGACCCAAACACATCATTGTACCAAGCTCTTATTTATGACAATGTCATCATTACTTGTGTGCTTGCAGAGCGTTTACTCTTCATCTTCTTCTACATCTACCAAAAAAACAAGTATAAAATTGTTACCTAGCCAATAGAATATGAAGAAGTTGAATACTTGCTTTTTTTTAAATTTTGAATCTACCTGTGATCCAACTCATTATCATCTGAAGAGCATAATGAATTGTCTGAGTCCTCACTATCATTTGAAAAAGGTTCAAAGGGGGGCTGTTCTTTTCTTGATGGCCGAGGGAGTTTCTTTTTGCTTCCAGATTTAGATCCACTAGCAACTAGGAAAGTATTCACTTCACTCTCTTGAATTATTCCTCTTTTTATTAGTCCTCGATAAACATTTGACATTGATGCATTGAATGACCTCATTTTGTTTCTTAAATCATCCATTTCTTCTTCAACCTCGCGATGATGTTTTCTTTCTTCTCGTTGAGCCATTTTTGTTTTTCCAATTTTTTTTCTAAACTCTCTATTTTTCCTTTCCAGGCTGCATCTTTCTTCTCCAGTTCTGCTTTGAGATTCTCAACCTCACTACTATCCACCTTTTACAAAAAAAATATTAAGCACGTGTAAAAAATAATAATTAATGTCCGAAAAAGGAATGGTAAGAGCTTAAAATAAAATAAAAGGCATCATAAAAATTTCATTTTACAAAACATAACACCTAATATGCATAAACAATCATATTTACTTGTGATGTCATAGTCGCTGTAGTAAATGCATCCGGATTAGAAAACTCCAAAGGGACACCTATCCATTGATCTCCCTTTTGAACCCCACCAGATGCTTGAACCCAAGCATCTTTATCAAACACTGGCCACTTTTCACGATCTTCCTCAAACTTTGTAACCATAACTTCACAATACTTTTCCTAAGAAGTTAGAAAAAAGTGTGACAACATGTAATATTTAAAAAGGCATGAACCTGTAAATATGATATACTCCGTACCAAAATTCGAGTATGTCGAGTTGGATATGGTTGTCCAGTTTTTGGATTAGTGCACATATGTTGTAACAGCTCATCTAAACGACAAGGACGACCTAGTTGAATAGACTACAAAGAAGCCACAAAAAACCATATATTTAGTCAATCAGACTTCGTTTTTGAACCCAGAGTACTCACACGTAAATATTATTTGTCTTACCAATTCTTTTAATATCTGTGACTTTGTCTTTGTGCCCAATGTACTTCTTGTTGTGACCTCACCTTCAAGTAGTTTACCTAAAAATAAAAGATACACAATAATCAATTAAAAAGAAAAGTTCATAAAATATTACAAAAAATAGAACTTTACTTATTTCGAGATCACCTTTTTGATTTGCGGAATCAGCTTTTGATTTCTTTTGCCACTCCTCTGAGTTCCAAATTGTACATAAATTCTTCCAGTTCTGCTCACTTATGTTACTTGGTCAAAAAGGAATAAGGCGAGAATAATCTTTATCTGGCAAAAAATCAGGGATTGATTTTTGAATAATGTCCCTTCTGATCCTATTCATTTTTTTTCGATATGAGCTTTCAACTAAGTGGAAATAATTTTTCCACACTTTTGTATGATGTGAAGGAGCCCATCTAAAACGATGCTGTGAAACGTAAAGTAATAAACTTTTAAATCAGTGCAAGTAACAAGATTTAGATGTAAACAAACACATAATTTTTTAGTTTCTGAGAGGGCTTGCCTGAAGTTGTTCCCAATACGTATCTCGAGCATTTGTTATGCTTAAGAACTTAACTGCTTCAGGGTTGAATAGCTTTTTATTTATGCGTCGAACCTCTTGAATCACAGTCTGGTTGGAAAAGAAACTGCAAAAAATAGAATAATGAAACATAGATTTAAGTCAATCATCAATATGAAATAAGATAATACATGAATAAGCAATATAAATCTCATACTCGCCCGGGACGATATTTATTCGATTATCTTCAACCCGATTTTCCACATGTTCTGGTATTTGCATATCATTAATCGGTTGAGATGACGAACCGCCTCCACTGTCTTGTATAGATTGTTCTGTCAATGGGCTTAGTGAAGCATGTTCTTGAAGTCGTTGCGATACTAAAGGAGGACCATTTGGAGGATCCCACGCTGCCCTGAAAACTGCATGCCCTTCAAGTAGTGCGGCAAACCATTCCTCATTCAAATTTGCATTCTGTTGATGCTTAGAGGCTTGCCGATTGTCTCCTTTTTTAGTCATCTATTATTTCAAGTGATAAGGGTAGAAATTAATGAAAGCTTTGGCACTTTTATATTGATGAAAAATATATGAAGAACAGGAAAAGGCTATGAGGAACTCAAATTGCAGGTATATAGCATTCTGCAACCAAATACTATTAAAATGAAAGTACTTGTTCATTTTGGATTAAATGGAGAAACAACCTTTCTAGCTATGGAATAAATGGGGAAAATGTAAGATAAAAGAATTAATGTCACGCCTGTCCAAACTCATTTAAGTAAATATTTATACACTGTAAAACTAAGAAATTTATCCAGGGAGCCAAGATAATTACCAACTATGCATGGACTCATACACTTTCACAGTTTCACACTAATTACCAAGATAATTACAATATAACAACCAACATAATTACGAACAATGGAAAAGTTTAACTGTACAGGGACAAGTTACTAACCAGAACAAAGCTTCATAGGTTCCTGGACAAATCTACTTCATTAATGAAATCAAATCAACCCAATTATAAAAAAAAAATAGTCTCCAGATATTAAACCAATTTGTAAAATCTACTTCCAAGAAACAAATCGTCAACAAACACAAAATCCATAAAAATGTTTCCAGAAACAAATACAAAATCTATACTAGCTTTTTTTTAAGTATAATTACTTGTAGATATTAAAAAGCATTAGATATAATGTTCGAAAAAACAAATTCCTACAAAATCAAAGAAACAAATACCTGTGAAAAATCCTAATTGAGGGTGATAAAAGTGCCAGAGATTTTGTTGATAGAATTACTCTCCAAATACTTGAGCTCTCGACATAGAATATTAGCGGTAATGTCTTGCGGCGGCCATAGAAGAAGCAAGGTTCGAGCGCAAAATGGAGGTAGAGATTTTAGCCGACCTAGGGTTATCTCATTCCAATTGAGAGGGGGTGTTTTTTTTGGCGCTGCTTTTTTAGAAAAATTTGAGAACTAAAATTTTAGTTCTTTTTGGAGGCTATCTCATTTCAATTGAGAGGGGGAGGGGGTTTGGGCGATGTTCTTTATTTTTTTGGAAAATTGGAGAACTAAATTTTAGTTCTTTTTGTACTTTTCCCAATTGCCATGTTCTCAATTATTTTGTTGTAAATCATCTCAACCAACATTGAACTCATTGTCGTTGATTAGAATTGGTTCTTAAATTGATCCCTCTTGGTACGGCTCGTTTTCAAGAATATCAGTAATACCAGTTTCTCCCTCGATGCTTCTAATATCACATTCGATGTGAAATCGAGGCTTTGTTATCACAACAGCACGCCAATAACAAAGAGATGTGTGAGGGTATTCGAGATAAAACACTTGTTGTTCAAGGCTTGCTAAAAGAAATGGCTCATCAGGTGGATCTAGACGTGAGTTCCACTTTACATCGGTGACTCATGAAGCATTATTATGTCGAACACCACGAGTAGGATCAAACCAAGTTCCTTTAAAAAGAGTTATAGAATAATTGCAGCCTCTCCCAAGATAAGTCAATTCAACAATGTCATCAATTATTCCATAGTACTCAACATTAACGCCTTTCACAGCAATGCCCCAATTCGCAACTTTTTTTGTTTCTCCATACTTGTAAGTGTGAAAGTGAAATCTGTTACTGAAACATCCACTATAAGATCTTGCTTGTGAAAGTGGTCCTCGAGAAAGCTGAAACAAACATGCGGGTAACTGTGTGTGATTTTTATCGGCAAACATCTTAAACCATCTAGCGAAGTCCATCTTTCGTCTATAATCAGCCTCTCGGTCAGTGAGCAATGGAAACGTTTGTCGAAGAAGAGTCTCGAAGTGTCTGAAATAAATAATCATATTAATTAGTCTCGTATTCGTATAATGACATTAAAATTAATACACACAAAAACTAAATTTAAAATTTTTCTGGCACTTACTGTACATAAGGTGTCACTTCTAGGCAGTTCATAAGCACACATGTGTGTGCTTGATGGAGTTCATTGTCTTCAAGGTAACGTGCAACACCTTGACCAGGAAAATTTCGAACATGTACTCTGAATATAGACAAAGTATTTGATATACCTTCATCAAGTGACCTAATCGGCTCAAAATTCCTTGGAATTGGATTTACTTTGGTACCAAGATTGTCTGTAAAGTAATGTTCAGTTAAGAAACTCATCTCTTGCACAAGATATGCTTCCACAATTGAACCCTCAATTCTTGCTCTGTTTCTAATTTTGTGTTTCAAACTTTTCATACACCTCTCAAATGGATACATCCAACGCAAGTGAACAGGGCCACCCAATCTCACTTCTTTTGCCAAATGAACAGTTAAATGTTCCATCACATCAAAAAAGCTAGGGGGGGAATATTTTTTCTAATTTACAAATTGCAATGGTAATCAGTTCTTGCAATTTTTCGATTTCTTCTATTTTTATTTGTTTCACACACAATAGCCTGAAAAATTTGCAAAACTCTGTTATTGCCTCCCATATTACATTGTTTAATGCCCCTCGAAGTGCGACTGGAAGAATTCGTTGTATAATTATATGACAGTCATGACTTTTAAAGCCATAAAAGCTATAATTAGACATGTTCACATTCGTCCCCAAGTTTGATGCATAACCATCTGGCATTTTAACCTTTTTAAACCACTTACATATATCTTCGACGCTTTTTTTTCAAGTGTATACTCTGCCTTTGGTATTTTTTTTCCATTTGTAGACAGCCATAACTCTCGCCGCATATTTAAAATTTCCATGTCTCGTCGAGAATTTACTCCATCTTTAGTTTTACCAACAACATCCATAACTGTGTAAAAAATATTTTCAAAACAATTTTTCTCTATATGCATCACATCTAAACAATGTCGCAGTTGTTGATCTTTCCAGTAAGGTAATTCCCAAAATATAGATTTCTTTATCCAATTATATGTCACACCAAATCCAGGAACCTTAGTGTTATCATATATACTTCCAAATGGTGGAAACACAAAGCTCTCTAATGTTTCTAGAATTTCAGACCCTGACATATCAGGTGTGGGAACACCAGGTGCACAACATTTAGGCATGAATGCTGTTGTATTTCGTCTAAATGGATGATTTGAAGGTAAAAATTTTCTATGGCAATCAAACCAACATGGCTTCCGGCTATTTTTCAAATAAAATGAACCTTGCCCATCACCACAATATGGGCAAGCCAACTTCCCATGTGTACTCCACCCAGACAACATGCCATATGCTGGAAAATCACTTATCGTCCACATAAGGCATGCACGCATCATAAAGTATTCTGACCTTAGAATATCCCATGTTTGGATGCCTTGTCGCCACAATATCTTTAACTCGTCAATTATAGGGCGTAGATACACATCAATGCTTCGCCCTGGACTACGTGGTCCTGGAACCAACCCTGCTAAAAGTATATGCGGTTCCTTCGTAATAAGCTCCGGGGGTAAGTTAAGTATGATGATGAATATAGGCCATAAAGAATATGCACTTCCCGTCATTGAATTTGGATTGAAACCATCTGTGCATAGAGCAAGCCTAACATTTCTAGGATCACTGGCAAACTTAGGATAACATGTATCAAAATGCTTCCATGCATCACCATCACACGGATGTCATAGCATGTCACTAGTTATTTCCATGTTTCTCGCATGCCATGTCATTTGATTGTTAGTTTTGGATGACATGTACATACGCCTTAATCGATCAATAATGGGAAGGTGACGATAAATTTTCTTAGCTATAGGTTTCTTCCTTACTCCTCTATTCATCGTAGATTCAATATAGCGAGATTCACCACAAGTTGTGCATTCTAACAAATTCATTGTATCTTTATAGTAAATCATGCAATTGTTCGGACACACATCGATTTTCACCATCGGTAGACCTAATCCTTTCATCATATGTTTCACTTGATAAAAACTTTGTGGTAAACAGTTATCATTAGGCAACACCTCTTTGAAAATACTAAGTATTTTGCTGAAACATGTATCCGACATGTTATATTGACTTTTAACACTTAGTAATTGTGCCACTATTGACAATTTTGTGAACTTTTGGCAGCCTTCATATAATGGTGTTGATGAATTAACAATCATTTTATAATATTGTTCTGCAGAAAAGTCTTGATTCC